TCTGATGTAACAAAGTTTATGGCAACACCTAAAAATAGTAATATAATAATTTATTCAATAAAACGTATAATATATGCATAAGATGTTATACTAAAGAAAAACTATATACCTTTCCTTCCAAAACGTCCAGACCGACCTATACGGTGAATATAAAGTTCACGATTACTGGGTAGGTCATAATTTATTCTGTAAACAATATATGACAAATTTAGTAAAGAGAAATATAAATATATCATTTTGGTTTTTGCTTGTAATCCTTACACTAAAGACACCTGCTGAACGTCAATTCCGCGAGCCCATACGTCAGTAGTAATTAAAACACGACTAAATAATAATATAAATCAGCATGAATGTTTTAGAATGAAATTATCTATATAGAGTCAAAGTCATACCTAGATCCCTGACGAAACTCTTGCATGATCGCATCTCGTTCCTTTTGTGGCATTTCTCCATGCATTGAAGAAACTGTGAAATTTGCTTCTCGCATTTTTTCAGTTAACCAATCGACCTTTTTTTTTTTTTTTTTAAAAAAAAAAAAGAGAATTAAAAAAAATAAAAAAAAAATTAAAATGAATTCAAGAATTATTTGTTATTAAAATTTATTAACTTACTTTGAATTCAAAATTAATTATTACCTTTCGGCGAGTATTACAGAAAATGACCGCTTGAGTAATTGTTAACGTATCATACAAATCACAAAGCGTTTCAAACTTCCAATCTTCTTTCTCAACAGCGACAAAGAATTGCTTAATTCCTTCCAGAGTCAATTCATCACGTTTGACCAATATACGAACTGGTTCAGTCATGAATTTAGTAGTCATCTCAAGTACATCATGCGGTAAGGTGGCACTTAAAAGGATGACTTGTGTATTTGGTGGAAGATATCGATAGACATCGTATATCTGATCTTTAAAACCTTTGTTGAGTAACTCGTCTGCTTCATCTAATACAAGCATTTTTATGTGTCGCGTCCGCAAATTACGACGACGAATCATATCGAAAACTCTACCGGGTGTACCGGAAACAACATGTTGACCATAATCAAGTTTGCGAATGTCTTCTCCAATGCTAGTTCCGCCAATGCAGGCATGACATTGGACATTCATATAGTCACCAAGTGCCAGAATGACACTTTGTATTTGTGTCGCGAGTTCCCTTGTCGGCGATAGTACAAGTGCTTGAGTTTCTCGTACTGTAGTATCTATACATTGGAGAATAGAAATAGAAAATGTGGCGGTTTTACCAGTTCCCGATTGAGCCTGGGCGATCACATCCCTGCCTTTCATAATAGGGACAATTGCTCTTTGTTGAATAGCCGAAGGTTTCTCAAAATCTTAAAAGGTTTACAGATAAGTTATAGTTTTATTGATCTATGTTCGGAGTAGACACGCCATAATTTGAATTTAAATAAACAAATAGAATCTTATTTGCAGTTTCAAAACGCTTACTATATGCATAAATTCCTCTTAAAAGGTCTTCTTTCAAGCCGATAGAATCAAATGTAGGTACACTAAGAAATTAACCAAAAATTAACGAAATCTTTTCTTCCGAACCGAATCTTCAAATGACACTTACACTTTAACATCCTCACTAGTTTCAAACACTAATTTTTCGTCGGCTTTTCGATCAAACTTTAAAAAATTTATTTTTTAATATTTTTAGTACTAAGAATTGCTCTAGAAACGTAAATTATTCATACCTTTGCCATGTTTATGTCAAAATTAAAAAACGCATAATATTGAAATTAGATTGCTTTATCTGTAACTTATCGTAAAGACCCGTGACATGCAGGTAATATGATTGGCTAATTTATGATGATCAAGACGTATATACAGCATACGATATATGTGCAACATAATTTCAGCCAATCCCATATTTAGTATGAATGTCATGTCATATACGTTTTGTAGATGTTCATTTTATTTTTGCTTTTGATCTGAAAGTCAATATCGATATGGAGATTGGTATTTATTTGGCATTTCATCTTTAATATATTTTCGTGAATCAAATCGTTTAAAATTCTAACGAATGTGCATATTTTACGGTACGAAATTATAGATGAAAAACCCAATGTGGGCCCTTTGAGCGCCCAGCGCATACGGGATTTAGAATCAATTGAAAAAGTTGGTCATTCTGGTCGCTCATTTATTTAAAATTCAAGATTTTTTTAATTTGTTTTTTAGATTCATGGGAAAAAAGTGTTTAATTTATAGTTGATTGTTGAAATAATTAATACGGCAGCTCATGCAATTATGGGTCTTGCATTGGATGGGAAACAACCAGCACAAGATGAAGATGATTTCACAAAAAAGGATAAGGTTGAAAAACTTACCCCTGAACAACAAGAAGAAAATTTTAAGAAATATGCCCAAAGATTTGCTGATTTGATAGAGGTAAATGTTATTGAAATGCAAAACATTTTACTTGATTATTTATGCTAACTCTCTTGGATACTAAAACAAAAAGGCAATTCAACTTCAACTGCGAGTCCAATTTCGACATATGCGAAGCATGGGTATAACAGCTGGTGATATACCTTTTCATACTGTAACATATGGAGAGGCAAAAGAATATGAAAGTTGGATGAATGCTACAAAAATTTTACGAAAGAAGCTCGACAAAATTAGTGTTGCTGCGGATGGTTTACAAGATTCAAAAAGCGAGTTGATGGAAGTCGATGAATAATCGTTTATATTTTGTACTTGAAGGACTAAAGACCACTTTGAATAATTATTTATTAATCAGGCTTTTGTCTCAGGCCTCATTTGATATTGTTTTGCATATTATCATAAATTTTAATGTTTAGCTATCAAGGCTACTATTTAGATATTCTAATCTTTGAATATCACTAACTGCTAATATATTATTCAAATAAGAAAAAAACTAGTTGTCGTCGGCGGTGATACGGTGACAGTCATAATGGCCAATCACATCATGTAACGGAAT